GGGGGGTCCTAAAACAAGCTTAAGCACGAAATTGTTTTGTCATTATTAGTTTATTTATTTATTTATTTACTATTATACTAGTGGAGGAGCCCCTGAAAAACATGATGGTAAGTGGCTTGTCAAAGGTAAATTATTATATAGGAAAAAAATTTGTGAAAGGTAAATTTTTTAATTAAAAGTTTATTGAAAAAAGGTCTATTTAAAATAAATAAGAATTTATGGATAATAATATATTTATTTTAATAAAATAAGTAAATAATCACATTCATCAAGCAATAGAGTGAAAGAGGGAGAGATGACTTTTGTCATTGTATTTTTGTTTTATATAGTGGAATAATTGTAAATAGTTAAATACTAATTAATTTAATTTAGTGAATATATAAATTTAGTAAAATAAATGAGATAAATAGACAATCAAGTGAGAGAGTAAATATATATAAACATATACACGATTCTATGTCTTACTTTGCTAGCAATAATAATTTATTAGATTATTAAATTATTAACTAATTAAATAATTTAGTAAAATAAGTAAATTAAATAAAAATTTGTATTATCAACACAAGATTGGTAAAGGCTATATCAAATCATTTAATTAATTAATTTAGCATTGTTAATGGGTCGGGCTGAACTATTAGTCTACCAAACCCATGAACAAGCTTAGCCCAGTTTGTGGTTCGGCCTGGCCTAAGACTTGGTCCATTGACCAACCCGGTCCGCGGCACGACACGGGCTAAAATAAAATTTTTAAGATCTTTTTTTTATTTTTTGTCTATTTTTTAATCTAGGTTAAAAGTTTCATTTTTTTTTTCAAAATTTTTAAAAAACATGACTTAGCCTAGTTCGTGGCCTGACCTGGCCTAAGACTTGGCCCGTGGACTAGCCCAGCCCATGGCATAGCACGGTCCTGTGTGGGCTCGGGCCATATATATATATATACAATAATTATATAATACATTAATATATAATTTTATTTTCAATTTTATTATGTTATTTCATTTTATTAGTGGCATCATTGTAAATAGTTAGCAATGGCACCATTGTAAATAATTATATGTTTATTAAACAAGTTATGATTGTTTTTTTTTTTTTGTTTTATTCAATGGAATCATTGTAATTAATTAAATTTGTAATGGTAATGGTTAAAAGCATGAAAAGGAAAAGATTATAAGATTTTATTTAGGTTATATAAAAAAAACATTCCATTTGGCAAATGCATCCACCATGCAACCTTTTGCTTTTAGGTTATATATATAAATGTAAGTTTTTATTTCTATTTATGCTTTTTACTTTTTATTTTATATTTTATTATTTTTTAAAAAAGAAAAGCAAGAAGAAAAAGAAAGCCTAGTTAACTAAGGTGGGACCCACATGGGAAACTCCTAGAGTGAAAAGCACGAAGTAAGGCTATATATAACAAGTGAAATATTCAACAACATTGTTAAGCACAAGGTTTTAAAAACTGACTCGAAATTGGAACTGATGTGCGATCTGATCACTCCCTGCTGGAAGGTAGCTCAAACATCACTCTAACGCGTGGCTGGTCGAATTGTAAGAAAATAGTATCAGAGGTCCCAAGGTACTTTACCCGGTGTGGGTACTTCGAAGCTTAAGTTAGCGAATTAGAGATTTTAGAGAGAGCTGAAAGCAATAATGCTAGTATCTGAGAGATAAATCACGCATACCTCACAAGGATGATGGTGGTCCCTTTATATAGGTGAGCTTCCGTAGTTTCTAGAAGAGTGCTATGTGGCACCTTGGCAGGTCAGGACATGACAAGCTGCTCGGACCTCGATTTTAGTTGAGGTACCCGAGGTGCCCGAGCTAACCTGGCGTGTTGAGGTGTTGGAAAATGTTGAGATGTCATCTAATCAACAGGTCGCTCCACGTGTCCGCATGCTAATGGGTCGTGCCAAATTACCCCTCATCAGGAACCATTCTAGCCACCAGTTTCCGAGTCGATGGTTCGGATATACGGCTCATTCCAACTTAAAAAAAAAAGTTAAAATAAAAAACAGCCAATAACTGTTGATCGAGTCGAACGGGTCAATAATTCAATTGCCTAGGTCAGCAAGTCGCTGATCAAGTCAACAGTTTTTGGTCAATAACCAGGTTGAAGATGAAACGGAACTAGTTGCCTAAGCTGAACGGTCCAACCATCTGGGTCAGCGACGCTTCGGAAACACTAGCTAAAGAACATAATACAGGAATTATATTGCTCACTCATCATCACGTAGATAGAAAAGGTAAACACATATAATGCTTAATAACAAACACATTAACTGAAATAAAAGCTACTTAATAGCAAACACACTGAATATTTAATAACAAATGCATTAACTGAAAACAAAACTACTTTTTTTATAGCAGAATCAAAGCTACTTAATATCTTAAGCCGGGAACCACTTGTTTGTAGAAATAATTTCTGAGTGAGATCTATCTAAGGATGAATGGGGGAGGAAGAACGTTTGAATCCAAAAATAAAGCATCGATCATAAAAAAAAAGGATAAGTGGGAAATTACTGAACTCACTGGGTTCATCAGTTTCTTTAGCCTATACATGAAAGTGTGAAATTCAAATTCGGTATCCTCTTCAGGTTATGATCAAACATTGAACAGAGAATACGAAATACCAATAGAAAATAAAAATAGTAGAATCCAACCCACTAGAGCATTTGCTACGAACAACTGCAATTGTAGCCTTCGGATAAAAAAAAAAAAATGCTCTTACAAAATAAATGGGAATCAATAGAAGAATAAAACACGAGCTTCAAAGTTGAGAATGACGGTCCTGTAGTGCAAATAAGAAAAAACACTGCAGAGTTCCTTTTAGCATGTAGTTTGTTCCAATGTTTTACAACATTTAATATGCTATGTATCATGTACATATATATTATATATAATATATTTTACAATATTTAATATGCTTAAATATGATGGATGGATGGTAAGTGCTTATTTTTTAAAACAAATGACTAGGGTTCAAGTCTTTTAATTTATATATATTTTTTAAATATGTGCCCGTATCACATTGTATTGGTGATTCGAATCGATATCCAATGATACTCATATGCACACATGTGATTTCTATTAAAATATGCAGTTAGGGTGATTCAAACATATATAGATTGATTAGTGCACTTAGTAGTTTAGCACCAAAGTCCTTAAATCACTAAGCCACTTAGTTTTCTATGACTAAAAATGAAATAAAATAATA